GGATGTTACACCACAGCCATCTGCTCAGGACATTCCATCACAGAACTCAGGAGGTCACAATGCAAAGGTTCAGGATATTACAACACAGCCAACCCGCCAGGAGGTTGCAGCACAGGACTCAGGATATCACTATAATAGAGCTCAGGATATCATCACACAGCCCATTACCCAGGTCATTACAACACAAAAGAACAATAGGCACACAGCTAGTACCTCAGCCACACAGGATGTTACAAACAGCTGACTAATCTGCAAACATCAACTCCATCACTAATCAAGATGTTACAACACAGCAACCAATCCCATTACAGCAACAAAGCCAGCACTCGACACCCCTCCACCGATATTTATAGAAAGACGACAGCTCCAATCACGCTTTGCTTGCACAAGCACAAAGCAAATACGCCAAGAACAGAAGCTTAAAGTACTGTAGTACAAGATCACCTAAGATCACTAGTATGAAAATTTGTACTACTGATCTCACATATCTCTCACTCTTTTAGGCTTCTGTTTTCTGCAAATTCAGTGAAGTAGGCAAAGGAACCGACATCTCGCTACATCATCACAATATAAGTCTCAGTGGGTTGGGGTGGGGGTATAGATGGAGAGAATGTTGCAGCGCCTTTTGTTTGTAAGTGTGAATGACAGCCGTGGTGCTGCAACATTTATATTTTCAGGACTGGGTCTTAAGTACTTACTTAGTGAATTGTCGTAACTTGGGGATTACCTGTACCCTAGAATTCTCTGAGACATACTACATCAGGCCTCTGTTCATGAATTTGATTGGGAGAATGCTCTTCACAGAAAACATGTAAGCAAAGGTATATTGACTCTTTCCTTCCTTGATGTATGAGAAGGCCAGATCCTTTCCTTCTCCCTCCGAGGAGACGGTATCTGATTAGTGACTTTTTAAATAAAAAACTAACTATAATCTGTCATCTCGAACTCTCTAATTGGAGACAAGAAAACTCTTACCCAGGGAGACCACATTCCTATGGTTTTCAAGCATGACTTCAGAATGGAGTACTTTTTGATCAGGATGCAGTTGAGACCATTCCTCCTCAGAGAAATACACAGCCACCTCCTTGAAGGACACCAGACTCTCCTGAACAAAGGAAAAAGAACAGAACTGGAGGATTTGCAAGATCTGTTCATCTTCATCAATGATTTAGACAAGAGGATAGAAGGGGAACTCATCCAATTTGCAGACAAGACCAAATTGACAGGAATAACAACACTTCAGAAGATAAGCTTAACCTATACAGAAGGATTGACAGATTCGGCGCCATCTAACAGAAAGAAAATCAATGGTGAGAAATGTAAGGTTCTTCATTTAGGAAAGAAAAGCTAAATGCACAGGCATAGAATAGGTGATACTGGCTCAACAGTAGAAAGTACAACTGGGATCTTGGAGTCCTAGTGTACAATCACTTAAACATTTGTCAGAAGTATGCTACAATTGCCACAAAAAAAAACCCAACCCTATCATAGGCTGCATTAAGAGAGGGATAGAATCAAGATCACATGAAGTGTTAGAACCATTTTATAATGCCTTAGTAAGACCACACTTGGAATATTGCATCCAGTTTTGGTTGCCAGATGTAAAAAAAGATCTTGAGCCTCTAGAAAGAGTGCAGGGAAGAGCAAAAAAGATGTTTAGGGTCCTGGAGATGAAAACGTATAAAGAATGGTTGCTGGAATTGGATGTCTAGTTTAACGAAACGAAGGACTAGGTATGACGTGATAACAGTGTTTCAATATCTAAGCGGCTGCCACAAAGAAGAGGAGCCCAACCTATTCTCCAAAGCAACTGAAGGAAGGACAAGAAGCAATGGATGGAAACTATTCAATGAGAGTAACTAACCTATAACTGAAGAGAAATGTCCTGACAGTGAAAACAATTAATCAGTGGAATGACTTGCCTCCAGAAGTTCTGGATGCTTCAGCACTGGAGGAGTTTGAGAAAAAACTGGACAGCTATTTATCTGAAAAGTTATAAGGCTTTCTGTCTGAGCAGGGGGTTGGACTAGAAGACTGCCAAGATCCCTACCAACTCTGTTATTCTGCTCCATTGTTCCCAAATTCCCAAAGCAAAGATATCCACTAACTTAAATGGCTGTGCTTCACACAAGGTCTAATTTTAGGTGAGAAAAGAGACAATTTGGAAAATTTATTTGACCGAAGAAATATTTGGGGAAGTTTTATCAAGCTGATTGATTCTGCAAAATTTAGTGCCTTTCAGTAAAGTAATCCCATTTTTGGATCAACTGATCTATCACTCTATATCATTTATTGATCTAGTAGTCTAAGCCATGGGCTGAATCGAAGAAAACAAAAAAGAGATAAGCCTTTGGGAAGGTAGTTTCTCAGCCTTTGCAAAGCAGGAATGTTTCATCTCTTAATCCAGGAACCAATCAGAGGATTGGAAATTATTTTAAAGCCCATCGTACGGCGATGACATGCTCTATGTGGCCACTCACTTTGGATTTTAAAATTCTGTGTTATTTTTTTAATGTGATATGCTTATTTTTTTGAACTACTGGTTATGAAACAAGGCTTTTAAAAAAACGGTAATGTGGCAATGTGAGTATTTAGTTATTTTTCATTAGCCTTGCATAATTCCTAATCAAAGAATGACAAAAAGAATGGGTTTCTAGCAGACGCTATCACTGTGATATGTTTATTGCTATTTCTTGAAGGACTTGTTAAAAAATTACTTCTTATAAACTCATAGTTGGAAGAGTACCTAGAGAACCAGTTAACCTGTGGTCTTTAAAAAAACATTTCCTAAACAGAATCAGAGGGTAGAAATGACAAACCATTTGCCACAGTAATAATCTACAGAAAAAGTTAAGATGGTTGACAGCAACTTGAAACAGCTATCATGCTGTCCATGTCGTGCAGGAACACAAAAATAATCCAGTCCAAACGACGGTGAAAAATAGAAGGAGAAAGCACTCTGCACACCCGCTTCACTTCCTGAAGGAAAGGAGAATACAAATCTAATAATTTTTCCCTTTCTTACTTGATTTGGAGGTTCAATCACACTTTGAGCTCCATCATAAAAAACAGAAAACTTCATTCTGTGTTTCTCTGCAATGATAAAATAATTTCAAAATGCATTGTTAACAAAATAAGAGGAGGTATACTACAGAATATAAGCAGATAAGACAGATGGGATCTCTGTGTAATTGGAGGATCTTCAATTACCTCCTGAGATGTCCCGACTTGGATCTTCCCAAGGGATCTTCCTGAAAAATAGCTCCTGA